TAATATTTAATGCCAGATTTTAAAAAATCAACCAGATCTATTCTTTAAAAGTTAATTCATTTGGAAAGTTAAAATTAAATATGATACTTAACAATTTGACCCGAATGTCTTTTGGTATAAAGAATTAACAAGATCTTTATGAAATCAATTTCCAAATATTTTTTAAATGATAAACACAGTAGATACTATTAATTGCAAAGAGCTTTCAGTTTTGACAGTTTTAACAGTAGTTATAACTGTGCGTGGCAATTCACCAAACCAGAAAGGGTAGGTAATTTAAAAGTATGTGGGGTTTTTTCTCCCTATAATTTTTAAGTAAAATTTTCAATGTATTTATTAACGCATTTTATGTAACTACCTCATTTCATAAAAAAATTAAAAATGACAATTATTTAATGTTTAATTTCTTTATTTTCTCCAGAATATTTTAATATTGAAACCCAAATTGTTACTTTGAGAAAGGGAAAAACAGAGAAACATGAAGAGACAAACATTTCATTTCATTTAACTTATGGTATTGTGAGCACTTTTGTAGGCAACACTTTTTTTTTCTTTGTAGAAAAGAAATAAAAAACAAACAGCACCATTAAAGAATGCATGATCCCTGAATTCTAAACAAAACACTGTCTAAAAATTGTTTAAATGCTCCTTGCACTCAGTCACATTTAGTCAGGTATCAAAGCAAGCATAACAGTATTAAATTGTAGCAGTCTTACTGAATCAACTGCTCCCCCTTCTGAGGATTTTACACACCTTTTCTGAGTTTTTCCTGTGGGAATAATATATTCTTTGGTAGAGGACTGAAGGAGGGTTTTACTTTTCTGTATGCTGATAGAAAATGTCTGGATGTTCAGGGCCTTCGCCCCCAATCTGTGTTTGTCATGCATGTTATGTTTGGGTTGATTTCACATTTTGCTGTTACACTGTAGGAGTAATACCGCCTTTTTTTTTTTTTTTAAAGGCATTAAATGGCTAATGTCAAACAGATGTAAACATTCAGAATACTGACCCAAAAAGAAAAAAAATACACACACACATTAAAAAAAAAAAAAAACTGTACTGAAAATATGAATCAGATTAGGTTTCCAGGAAGCAGGGGAAAAATACAGCAGTACAAGAAAGTTATGGCAACCAAGTAAAGCACTTTCTTTGAAACATTCATGAACAGTACAAATACAACAAAGTTTTTCTACAGTCTAAATTATTCTGCAACTATCAAATATAGTACAAAGCGAAATAGTATGTGCTATAAAAAAGCAGCTCCTTTAAATTATAGTAAAAATGCTTTTTGTTCGCTTTACAGTGACAAAGCATGAGGACTGAAGACAAGATTTTTATATTCAGTGACATTTTGGCTACGTCGGCCCCTGACAGTCTGACGAGTTCCTTTTCTAGGACTCTTCACATTGTTCTCTAAAAACACAGAAAGACAGTGACTCTGGGCTCTGCACGCTCAGCGGGCTCATTCCCAGCAGGCAGCTAGCGCGGTGCTGGCCTCCACGCCGGAGAGAGGAGGCAACCCTAAGCCTGGCTTCTGCCTCTGTGACCTGGAGCCTCACCAGACAGAAGGAACTGGGGACCCAAGGCCACAGCAACTTCCTCTGTGGAAATTGTGCGAGTGTTTAAAATGGGACTACAACATCATGCATTCTTACTCTCGGCTGCGTGACGAAGCGCCATACACAGAAGCCCATTGGGTTTTGTAGGTTTATTCTGAATGACTAAGAACATTCAAGGTCTCAAAGTCACCTAAACCTCCTAGATAGCTCATCCCAGAAACACATACCACCGTGAAGTCTTTATAGCAACCAGGCTCAACCTCAAAGGTTTGTTTTCAAGTTTTTTTCTTCAAACTAGACCTTACCAGAGAAATATTATATATAACTATGGTGCTCAGTTCACCAACTTCTCTGCTCTTCTCACTTTGGGGAAGGAAAACTATTTTCATTTTGAAAATGAATTTGCATCAGAAGGTTCTTATTAACATGCCCATTAACTACCTAAATGTCTTTAAACACTTCAGGCATATGCATATCATAGAGGAGGGGGATGGGGGAATAGCAGTTTTCTCCTCTCCCCTGCTCCAAAAGTGCTTAGGGAAATACATCCTTTGTGATTAAAAAAAAAAAAAAAAATTACATGTTACATGTGCAAGTTCTATTCCTGATAGGGATATCATAGTGTCCAATAATCAGGATAATGCACACACTAACATTTGCACATTACACCACAATAACCATGTAGTAAATAACATACTACATTTGCACATAGGCAGACACCTGTGGAAATCAGGAAACTAAGAACCTACTTACCTAATCCAAGTATACTGTCTTTCATATATATATATATTAAGGGGACACTTGTAAAACATCTGACCCATATTTTACTTCTGAATTTTTCTTTCCATTATTTTTTTAGCCCAAAGATATTAATTTTTCACTAATATAAACCATATGCAAACACCAGGAATTTGAATTGGGGCAAAAAAGAGAAAGGGCACAGAAAAATTATCCTCTTTGGACCTGGGTGACGGAATCCATGCACGATCAACAATCGGTTCTCCAAAATTATGTGAAAAATCACCTATTTTGTGAAAAAATCAAAACATACGGAAGGACACTTTTTTATTATTCCCAAAGTTTAAGTACTTTGCAGGCAGTTCCATAACGATGGAACTGATAATGAGCTCAGTATCGCTTCAGCTTCAACTGTACCTCATCAACAAAGTACAGAGTCTGGTAGACCAGCGTTTCCTCAACATCCCGTGTCAGTTACTGCGGTAGTGATTTTGAATCTGCTGGTGTGGACAGTGCCTGACACTGGTCGGGCAGCAGGTGGATTTGGAGGGGGCTGGTATGCAAGTGTCTACATGTAGGGGTTCCCTCTGTGAGACTAGAGCATGCTCTTCTGAACCAAGATGGTATTGCAGCCAAGCAGACCACAGAGAGGACGCTGCTGCCCCAACACAACCTGGTGCAGAGCGAGCAGGGACCTCTGCTGCATTCCTGGGGAGGGGCCGGTGAAGTGCGCTGTTCTCTTTCTCCGTCACTAACTGTGTTAATTTCACCGTGAAAAACCGAAGTGACCTCACCGAGGCACCAAATCTCAGCCACAGAGACAGACCCTTCTCTGCTTTTCTTCCTAAGTATCTTTACCTATTAGCAACGTATTAAGAAAAGAGACATCTGTATCACCTAATAAAATTTGGCAACATCACAATAATAAATATGGAGGGGAAAAAAACATACACCGTGGTTGATTAGTACAAAAAAATCACAAGTTTTCTTTTCTTTTTTTTCTCCAGGAATGTAATCTCTGCTCACTCCAGTTAATTTTTAAGACATGTTTTAAGGGAATGTCTAAAGTTTATGTTGATGTGAGAATGTCTGTCATTCTTACCCTGGATACAGAGGATTTCCGTCCCCCATCCCATGTTTTGCTTTTTTTAAAAAATTCTACAGCCACAATCAATCAATGGGTTAATGGCACTCCACCTTTTGTGCTCTGTAATCTGAAGTTAAATGGGCGTGGTTTCTGCTGTCTTTCATCTTCCCACTGTGTGCATGTGCTTTTTGAACTTGCTTTAGGGAACAGAGCCTGCTGAACTACAGCTGTTCTCCGGCACGGGGGTGGCCAAAGTATGTGGAATGTAGCTCAAATCCTCAACACTCAGCCTCTACTGGATAAACACCGACGTTATCTGTAAGATGCAGTATCCCATTTTCAAAAGCAGTTCTACTCCCCCAAATATGAGGAAGAATGTACTGAATTCACCTGAGGGAGGGGAGGGGGACAAAACATGCAATTCCTAGAATGATTTTTTAAAATAAGGGCTATTTCGGAGTCAAATATAATTAATGATATTGATTGCGAATCATGAGGGGAAAACTGCTCAGAAGTAGATCCACACATCAGCCTTCTGAAGTTCCTCTTATCATCAACAATGCTTTAAAAGGGAGGGGGCCAACCTCTGCAGAGTCAGAAGCCAGAATGGACTGGAATCATCAACAAAGGGTACAATTATCCCCCCCCCATTTTAATATCTAGTAGTTGTATTAGAGTAAACAGAATGGACCAATATTTACATTATCAACCCACTTCTATGTGTTTGCATACACAGCATTTTACTTGCTGACTTTTTAAATTTTAAGGGCATTTTTTTTTCATACTTGCTCTTAAAAGCTACACATGATGTTCTGAAATCCCGTGGGCCTGTGGGCCTCTGGCCTTCTCTCGGTCGACTGACCTTACAGTATCAGGTGTCGAAGGGCTCGAACCAGATTACTGGCCTTGAGGCCCACACTACAATTTCAGGTATAAGACACATTTCACTACAATGTGTGCACAATGTCCAAGGCAGATCGGATATTCTGCCAGTCTCTGGAAAAAGTAAAAAGGGAGGGAAGAGAATAAGGACAGTGGAGTTCATTAATGGCATACCTCCTTTAATGGATCTTTTGTGATATGAGCAAATACAAGGAATCATACATTTAAATCAGATTCCCCTTTCCAAATATGATTTAATCACTGTGGTAAGGGTAGGTCCAGAAGAGTCAACTGTGAAAACTCTTGTTGTCATGGTTAATCTACAGAAGAACGAATAACCAACCACCTTAAATCACTTTTACCATTCTTTCTACATCTGTGTTTCTGGTTAGCAATAAGTAATTAAAAATGTCCTTTTCCTATCTACAACTGGATAAAAGAAACAAAACGAAACAAAACGAATGGGGTAGTGACCTGTGTACACTTGGACAGAAATTTTCCAAAGCTGGGGATGGTAATTTAATATGCAAAAGACATGCCGCTGGGCCACTCGGTTGGGGATGCGATCTCCCCTTTCTGGGAAACGCAAGTAAAGAATCCCAGAGAGAAAAGATAATCTGTTCCAGAGTAAAATAAATTATCACGATATAAACCACTGAGTTACTCAATTTGTCGCTGCTGACGCCGTTTGGCTCTTCCGTGTTGAAAAGGGATACTGCATCTTTCCTCAGCTCTTACCGCACCACCAGGCAAGCTACACAGAGCTTGGAGGGACCTATGCAGTCATCATGGCAGAAGGCCCCACAGCCTTTGCACACAATCATGGCTTTCAGCCGGCAAGAGCATTTCAGTTCCAATTCGTCCGCGTTGCTGCTGTCGGCAAAGTTCTGAACGGGCATCTGAGCGTTCTGACCAGGCAGGCCCGTGGCGGGACTGGAGCCACTTCCCAAAATCCCAATGGACTTTTCAATTGCAGATGCTGCCCTTTTGAAGCTCGTGCTCCCAAAGTGTATTGTTGGATAATTTCCACAGAGCTGCTGCTGTTGCTGCACCTGCATTTTCTGAGCAGCTAATTGGGTAAAAGGCTTTTGTGGCTCAGAAAGCAAATAGGAAGAGAAATCTGCGTTTTTTAGCGCAAATGCTTTTAACTGTTCTTTCATTTCATTCTGGTCATAGGAAACTTGTTTCATGCCCAGTTCACAGCTGCTGCTTAAACCTTCCTCAAAAGAAAGAGGTTCCGATTTTATATTGCTACATATGCCCGTGGACTGTGGCCAACTGAGTCTCTTAGTGGTTTCCATGGTAACCGGTGGCTGCTTTTGATCGGATGGGACTTCTGTATTAGGAAGAGGTGGAGGTAGAGGAGGTGGTGGTGGCGGCGGGGGAGGCGGGGGCAGGGCCAAGGGCGGAGGGGGTGGAAGGGGAGGGGGCGGGGGTGGGGCGTGCACAAGGGCTTTGTTTGGCATTGCGTGTGCAGCCCCTCCCACGTCATCACCTTCTTTAAGGGGCATGTTGGGGGACAACATGTTGGCTAACCTTAGCTGGTGGGGTGCGGGAGAAAGGCCAACCTCTCCCAGTCCCTTCTGTTCGAGATGCCTGTTGAAGGCAAACGCATTACAGCCCACTGGGGTCTTGGCGGAGGCCGGTAGCAGGGCTGCGCTCGGCATGGGGGCCCGGGCAGCCATCGGCATTTGGTAAAACTGCTGTCTGTGTGAGGTACCAGCGTCAGGGTGGAAGCTGCCATTCTTGTCGACATGAAAGAGGTTCTGCTGGAAGCTACAGGAGGGGAGCAGCCGCTTCTGCTGCTTGACCTCGGGGCTGGGCGCGATTCTGTTCTGCATGGGGTGCTTGCTCAGCCACTCCTGCTTGAAGGGCTGGCTGTGCCCTCCTAGCGGAGTCAGGCCCGAGTTGATGACACAAGGCACCCCTTTCCCATCTGGCTCCACCAGCAATTTCCCTGGCTCGCACTTCACTTGAGTGTGCTCCCCCACAGTCCTGGCGACTCTCTTTTTGGGGTGGTTTTCTCGCTTCCTCATTTGTAGTGGCGCGAGGGTCCCCGCCAGGTAGCCCTTCCCGTCGGGGTTTGGAGAGCTGGACGGCATTTCAACGATGTTCCGCTCGGGGGCTGTCTTCCCCGCTGAGGTAGTTTGAAGAGGCAGAGGAAGCCTGTTGATTTCGAGCTTGGCTCCCAGTCGGGGCTGAGGCAACACTTTTTCCAAAGGCAGGTTGCCCTGGAGTAACTGGGTCACCAGCGGGTTGTTGGCCTCCACAGAGGACAGTCGGCAGCCGGAGCTGCCCGCGCTGGGAACCCTTTTCAGGGGGTCTGCGGCCAAGGAAATCGCCTCTTCCATGGGACCAGAGGTGGGAGCCTTCACGTTCTGCGTCTGCTGCCCACTGGGGGTGACCTCCGTGGCCGGAGGAGGCAGCTCGGGGCCGGAGAAGTCTTCGGTGTCCATCCTAAAGCCCTTGTCCACTTCATGAGGTTCAGACTTCACGGGGAGAGCGACACTGGTTATCAGATTCCTGGGGTGGAGCTCTGCCATGTGGGAGTAGCTGGCGTGTTCGGTTTTGATGGCCTTAGGACAGCTCTGCTCCAGATACTCTTTCTGCTTGCTTGAAGCGGGGTGACTCACCAGGGGCTGTCCTGCGCCCCGCATCCCCTCCTCGTTCCAGCAAATCCGGCTGCCTGGGTTATATGGATTGCTACAGGTTGCGTCGGCTTCGCTTTTGAAAGCGGTTGGGCCCCGTGCCTGCTCGGCGAAGCTGTGGCTAGGAGCAGGCACCTCGTTCCGTTTGTCCGGACCCACGAGGGGTCCCTCTCGGAGACTTGGGCAGGCTGCCTGCATCGGGGTACACTCCTGCTTCGCTGCCACGGCACTGATGAAACTCGAGCCCTGGTCCACGCCTTCGCTGGCCACCGGCGGCTCTGGCCGGCTGATGACGGACACCTGGGGACACGCCACGGGCTGGACGGAGGCTTCTGTCCTCACGGACCGGCTCTGGAGGTCCAAGCTGGCTTCCGCACTTTCGATGGAGACGGTCAGAGACAGAGTGGAGGTCAGTGTGGTGCTGTGGTCCACGATGACTTTACACGGGATCGATCTGTTTATGGCTGCTGGTGCGAAGCCCCCCGCGGGTGGCTGAGGTTTCCCAGAATTGTCTGCCCTGTTTCGGGGCCCTGGATGTTTGTCCGAGCTTTCAGCACTTAACTTGGGAGGCCCCTCGTAAGAGCTGAGGGTCAGCATGCTTCCGGTAAACATGGCGATAGGCGGCCGCGCGGCCAGAGCGTCTGTGGCCGCTGCCGACTCCCTGCAGCTGAGGGCGGCTCTCACAGTGGTACCCAGGGGTCCGGGGGCCTGTTCTTCACCCCCAGGCATGGCTATCTTCTCAGAAGGAAATCTGCTGTTCATCCCCGGCGGGGGAACCAAGACAGAGCTCGTGGAGAGATGGTTTGGCAAGTTATTTCCAATGGAGGGAGTTGGCACGGAGGTGTACTGACTGGAGACGAGGTTACCAGCGCTGCTGCTGGGCAGTGGCAACTGCTTGTCGTCCATGGGGCTCGAGACACCGCGGCCCTCGGCTGGGACGGGGACAGGAGTGCTTTCGATACATTTTGGTATAATGGCTATGCACGGAGTGTCCGTTCCCTGGATGGTTTTCAACATGCTTATATTACAAGCAGAAATTGTGGTATTTGCACTGTCAACAGACATTAGAACAGAGGATTTATCAACAGAACTCACAAAGGGATGTTCTTTAATTGCTCCCGACATAGCAGTGCCGCAAACAGACACAGGGACGGAATTTTTATTAAAAAGCATGGGCACACTGCTATTTTCAGAAGAGGTAGATGAAACAATTTTCTCAGATAAATGCGACACGGGTATATTTTCGTCAGAACTATGCGCAGATAAGTCCGTGGCAGTTTCTGGAAGTTTAGCTGGGTTAAGAGATGGCTGTAATACAGTGGTGGTCTCCCGGAGGTGCGCAGACTTGTTGCTAGGAGATCTGCAGTTTGGATTGACAATAATCACACCGGTCGACCCTTCAATTTTTGTTTCAGGGGTAGAAGAGACTTCTAAGCTTGGAGGCCCTTCCTTTGAGCCGAGCGGAGGCAACCGGGACTCTTTAGTGTTCTGGAAGAGGTGGGCTCGGGCTTGATGCTTTGCAAACAGCTTCGCCTTTGTCTGCTCTTTGATATGTGCCAGGGTTCTCGCCTTCCCACCCTCTCCTGGGCTCCCCATGGCTCCTGAAACGATGCTCGCCGCGGCGGCTACAGCAGCTGCAGCGGCTGCCTCTCGCTGGGCCCTCGCTTGCTGGGCCCTGGCCTTGATGTCTGCAAGGGTCCTGGCTCCTGTGTTCCTCCCACCACCGACCGATGTGCTGGGGGACGCGCGAGACTCTGGTTTGGAGACTGGCTGGCTCTTGATAATGAAAGGTGGCCCAATTTTGGAAAGCTGGATCTATAGGAAGGGGAGAATGGAAAGAGAAAGCGCTTGGTACATGATCACAGAGGACGCAGGTGGAATGTGATAACACAGGAGATAAGATGGGCGATGTCCTCTCATTAATGTGGCATGAACGACACCTAAATCCCCAAATAGGTCTTTTGGGTATAAAGCGACAATCAATGTGGCACGAATGTGAAATTAAAATTTTTAATCTCTGTTTTTCATCTACAGGAACATCAACCGGTGACTCCATTTGGTATGGAAATGAAACATCTTCTTAATGCCTCATATAAATGGAAACAAAATCCATGCTTTTTAAAATGAGGTTAGCTAAAAAAGACTTAGAGATAGTTAGCTTTTAAATTATCTTCCTTCCTGGCAGGGAAAACTGGGACCTTCATTCTATACGAGTTTATCTCTTCATTTGCCACAAAGAAAAAAGCCCTAGCCAAGAAGTCCGAAGACTAGAATTCTCATCCTGCCTTCACTCAAAGAAATTCTGCAATCTTGGGCAAATCATGGTGTACTTTGCTTTCTCCAGAGACCTCCGTGAGCCAGAGACTCTGTAGTTTTTCTGTACTCCCATACAACCCGGCACGCTGGCTCATACCTGTATAATCAGCACACAATAAGAGTTTGTAAACTCACTTGTAAAATGAGACGAGTTATTTCTGGTCTATTTCCTTCACAGGGTTGTTATAAAGATGGAATGAAACTATGCTTGTGAGAGTGCTCTGCTTTCCAAAGGGATTTGGTATCATTATCTTTTCATGAAAGCAAGGGCAACGCTGGTTTTCTGCTTCTAAAAGCAACGACAGGTTGGGTAATTTCTTCGGATATCGGTAATCTACAATTTGCTGAATTTCATAAACAGTCCGACCCACAGCATCTATCTAACTCATGCTAATTAAGAGACTCACAGTCATTCCCAAATTCATGAGGCACAAGGCTCAACTACCAACATGTTATAGCAACGCTCTAGGCACTAGAAACATGAGTCATAGATTAGAGAGTCATAGATTTTTAGGGTCATAGATTTGGAGAGTTGGAAGGGACCTAGTTAAAGCCCCTCAATTTACAGTAGAAAAAACTGAGCCTGTGGAGGGAAAGTAGGCTGCCCTGGGATCATATAACAAGGGTGTGACAGAATGGTTCCCCATTCAGGGCTCCTGACAAGTACTATGCTTCCTTTGTTTTCCTCCCTCTAGGAAAAGCTTTTCCTAGAAAACACATCTCCCCCCTTCTTAACATATGTATATTTATACTATAAACGCTTGACACATACTACAGGATCATATCAATCTGGAATTATGCTTTGAAACTTCGGTAGATGAAATGATCTTTCTGAGCTATATCATTTCTCCTTTTCCAACCTGTGATGTTTCTCTTCTAATCCAAAGGCTTCAAAGAAAAAAAAATGAATTTAGAGAGGTGATTCCAATTTTCCTTTTAAATATTTTCTTTACTTAAAAAAAACCAACTAAAAACATTTAAAAAAATTAAACCTAGCTATACTTAAGCAAGAGCTCAAGGCCAAATAAACACCAAATCTATTTATGTTATCCATCTCCCGGGAAGTATATACTACGTTGAAAACAAGCTTTTGACAAGAAAAACAGACTGCTATGTTCAAAAATATTCCCTATGAAAAGCATGCTTATATTTTTCTTTCCACTGCTTCAGAAATTAAAATGAATAGCGGGGCCTTTAATTGGTGCTTAATGTTCATCTTTCACATCTTTAGAATCTTATTTAATAGGGGTTACTTTATTAAGCAGAGTAACTGCAGCTACACTCTTAAAAGTCAGCCTTATGGATATCATGAGACACATACATAACATAGATGTCAGAGCAGAACAAAGTAAAGAGAAAGAGATTAAGAGAAACACAGCTTGAACACAGTTATAATCCTAGACCAAACCTATGGTGGAATAATGCACTTTACCGTTGGGCAGTATAAATGGACTAAGAGGAAAGCACCAAATAAGTATAGATCATATTGGTTAGGATTTTTTTAAATTAAACAAAGTATTTCTTTTGAATTAACCTTAATTTTTAGTTTACTTAGGCAGAGACAATTTATATAAAAGGTTTGTTTTCTGAGAGTTAAAACCTACCCGGGGTCAAAAGAGAATGTATAAATGGGAATGTTTCACTACAGGTTTTATTATCTGTGAAGTTAAGTGCCTCTTTACTATCTCAAAAATTAAAAAAAAAAAAAAAAAGATTTGTATATCTGTATATCTATAGCATTTTCCCTCAGAGTGTGCAAAGGAATTTTATTGATTTACTCAAGAAATATTTAATGAGGCTCTTCCGTAAGTCAGGTCCTTTCTGTTAGGAAATGGTGGTAGTGAATATTTGCTGGAAAATAAATGAACTGATATCCTGCACCTTCTCCTCCTTCATGCACGCCTCTGACTTTTGACTACTTTCCCTAGTCCTACTGAACTTTGACTGGGGACCAAAGTCTCTCTCAACTTTTCCGAAGTGCATGTACGTCTTCGTCTTATACCTTGGAATTCCCAAAAGACCCTTCATCTCATGGCCTATAGGCCCCTCCAGGCCCTGTTCTCCCTCCCCACTTCTTTTTCCTTAAATATATAATGCATCTAAGATTATCTTGTGAGCTCAGCAATCCTTAAAAAGGATCATTTAATATTAGACTCGTGCTTAGAGTATTAGATCATCAACTGCTACATAAAACCTGGAGGGAATAAAACCTTATTTAATTCTGAAAATTAAGCATCTGAATAGGAAAAGCCTATCTATGGAATTGTCTTTAATGTTGTTATTATTAGTCCATACCTTGAGAGGTGGAACTCTGGGCTCCTCTCTTGGAGGCTGTTCCTTCTCAGGTGGGCTGCTGGATGGTAAGTTCCGGGTTGACTGATCATCTTCTATCCGAGCCCTCTTCTCCTTACAAATTCCAAAGCTGTGCTGCTCTGCAGTTTTCCTCTTCGATATCTCAGATTCTCTACTTTCATTTCTTATCCCATCTGGTGACTTGGAGGGCTCTGACAACTTGGAAGAATGTGAGGTCTCCAACCGATTCTGTGAGCTCCCTTGCTTGTGTGTTTTGTTTCTAGAGCCTTCTGAAAATGAAGCCTTATCCACTGATGAGACACCCTGCTTGTCCTGTAATTTAGCTGATGGAAGCTCATTTCCCTTATTCTCTGTCTCCTCAGAAAACACAGGTAACTCCAATGGTGAAGACGCCCCTTTCTTTTCTGTTCTTTGCAGGACATTATGATTTTTCACTTTTATCATTTCTATAGAAGGGAGTTCTGGAATTGAAGCAGGATAGGCCTTCTCAGTTTCAACACGTGATTTACAAGGCTGCTGATTCAGAGTCTTACTGTGCAAGTCCTCCGACGGAAATGCTTCAGAAACAAGGGAGGAACCCATTTTGATGGGTTCAGGAGTATTTGACAGAATCTTCTGTTGAGAGAGAAGGCTTTCCCCCAGTGGCTTGGCAGGGGCAGAGCCTTCATCTTTCTGTGGGGAGAGTGGTTCTTCAGATAGGGAAGGGGACTTTCTTTGCTGATGCACCATTCTTTCATTCATGGAAGAATTAGAAATTGGAGATGTTTCTGAAGGAAGTGGCAAACTGGATATAAAAGTGGTCTCAGATGTGAGAAGCATGGAAGACACTGAAGACGTTTCTGATGTCAAAGGTAGATCAGACATGGGTGATGTTTCTGATGTTAAAGGTAAATTTGATACAGGGGATGCTTCAGAGGTTAAAGGTAAATTGGACATCAGAGATGCCTCTGATATTTCAGGTGAAGTGGATATTGGAGATATTTCTGACATCAAAGACACATGAAGGTTTTCATCAGGGGGATTTCTCTGGTTATATTTGTCTGCATTTTCAGTGCTGGACACCTCAGAACAAAATGTTGTCTCAAGGGAGGCTGGAGTACATGATTCCTCTGAGGTGGACTGAGTTTCCCCTCCTGGGGATGTCAGGCTGGTACAGGCTCCCTCTGGGCTCTCGGAAGAGAATGAAGTTTCTGAGATACAAGCATTTTCAGAAAGCTGTTCATCAGGATCACTCTGTAGCTCCATATCTACAGCAATCCCTTCACTGGGAAACTGGTCTTCTAAAGAAGAGGACCCTGTTTTTATTTTTGGAGGACTGGTCTCTACTGCAGTTTCTGGCTCCTTATGTTCCGTGTCACTGACATGAGTCACAGAGGAAGTGGAAGGAACGAGAGAGTCACAGACTTCTAGCTGATCGATAACAACCGACATTTCTTCCTGGGGAGATTCGGATTTCTCTTCCACTTTCACTTCAAGATGAGGCAAAGTTTCTAAAACATCATTCATCATAACACAGGACTCCAGGTTATCTTCAGGAGGTGCTATGTGAGGCTCTTCATGAGAGTTGGCTGGACTTTCAGACCCCTCAGAAAATTCAGGTATTGTCTTATGATTTTCATCCTGACATTCACAGATACTAGTCTCTACCTCTTCTGCAATTTCCTCCTGAATCACGGATTCTTCAGGGATCAAGATATCTTCTGAGTCTGATTCTGCCATTCCATCTTTACCTACATCTACCATAGGACAAAGTGTAGCACAGAAACCAGGCTCTGGAGAAGTTGGACTTTTCATGCTTTTTGGCTGTTGCTCTTCCAAGGGAGTCTGTGCAGAAAGACCTGGAAGGCCAGAGGCTCCACATGAACTACTTTCAGCTCCATCACTGTTTGGTCCAGAAGTGAGCTTTATTGATTCCTCTCTTGACATGCCCAACCTGAACAGAAATTAGAAATATTGAATTATTGTTCAACCACAAAACATGAAAGGTACAATTTGGAGATATATGTGTGTGTGCGTGTGTGTGTGCATGCGCGCATGTGTGTGTGTATTCAACAAAAGCAAATACATCAAATTAATTTTACAATTGCTAAGTAACCTGCTTAATTTATATAAACTAGTTTATGATGACTTAGTTCTTCTACTTCTTTTATAATCATAACTAAATAAACTCTACTCTGGTTAAGAAAGATTCAGATTTTTATATTTATTTATTTATTTTTAAAATTTTGTTTTACTAACTTATTTGGTACAGATTTTTATTGTGTAAGCAAGGAGATATGAGCTTTGCCAAATGTTATGTAAAAGGAATTAAAAAATTACATTCTACAAAAGATTAGAAAATATGGGCAGAAAAACAAAAGAATGGATAAGATCTAAAATTTTTTAGTCAAAAAGTAGCAATTTACCTTTATCATAGAAAATTGCACAGTCTTCAGAGGATGCAATATAAGCAAATAAGATCAATGGGATATGGGTATGTTGTAAAATCTTAAAACTGAAATGACTTCCAAAGATTAAGTTCTCTTAAACCAATGTAAGAGGTTTATTACTAACCTTATTTTAGTCTGTAAGTGTCTACCTTAAGACAACATGGACATTTCACTAAAGAATAACAAACATATTTGGGGTCAACAAAGTTGATTCTACTAGATTATATTTGTATGAGGCAAGATCTTAAAATTTTTTCATGTGATCTCTTCCTGTAAGGATGTTCCATGAAAGATAACAAAGAGCATTAAGAAATAATGTAACCTAATATTCATGTCATAAGGAAAAGTTCATCAGAATTCCAAAGATACTGGAAATCACTATTCCCTGTCACACTAACTGACATCATCAGCATCACATGGCGGAGAAATAAGCTGCTCTAAAAGAAGTTCGAGTACAGACAATTACAAAGACAAATATTCTCAAACATATTTGAGTGAAGAAATACAGCTAAAAGCATCCATGCAGGAAAATACCTCAGTGAAATTTTCAACCTTTGACTTAAATTCTCCCAAATGAAGGGGAAATAAAATTGAATACATTTTTTGGGGTGTATTCATTGCCTTCTTTGCTAACATTCAGAAGGCTCTAAAAAGAAGCTAGGAAATACTGCCCTCATAATTAGCCTCTTTTCTTTCAACTTTCCCTAAGATGGGTTCGAACGAAGCTCCAATTTATAACTATACCACACTGAGAGGAGCAGAATAACATCATTACAGATAAAGCAGAGTAATCAACTAGAAATATGCTCCCTTGGGGCTAGGCTAAGCAGAGATACTACTGATACTAGGTTAGGTGTAAAATATACAGTAATTATCCACTGGCAGCCACATTTCTGCTGGTTGGTTAATAAGGATATAATAAATTTATTAATTCATATTAAATATTTTTAATATTAAGTATCACAAATGTATGGAATATATAAAATGTATATATTATACATGTGTGTCTACAGTCATAATATATATGTATATATGGAGAACAGTACCGTATAAAATATGCCTATGTCAACATTTTATTATTTCCATGACAAAATGGATTTAAGATGGCATAAGGCAAAGAAGGTTGGTTTTCACAGCACACCACATAACAACACAAAGGAAAACAGGTAAGTCCAGAAATCTATCATTCTGAGTTAGTGCACATATGGGTGATCTCTAAGTGACGAAAGCAAATAGGGAACAGTGCTATGTTACAAGCAGAGTAAGCCGATCAGAACCATAATAGAGAGCTCCAACACACAGCCTGAAGACTAGAGGAGACAAATCTTAACAATGCAGGAGTTTGGATGGCAACATTCTTGGGAAAAGTTAGAGCAGCGAAATTTTCATGTCAACTGAAACTTATCTGGTGCTAGGAAAAACAATCTTTCACACACTGGGGTAGTTTAAGTAATCTTGAAGTAACAAAATTAGAAGGACATTGGAATGTCCAAAATATGGCTGTCATCCAATACGTAACTGAAGATGGAAAAAGACAAGCAAGAATTCCAATGATGTTAAGGGGACAGAAACTCTATGGATAAACTACAGCAAGGAAAGGGTCAAATAAAAGTAGTGTTTGTATTGAGAGCTCAGGGATGGTAAGAGGGGATCATGCTTACTCACAGTATTATAGCAGTTACCCTCCAAGGCAGGGCTCTTTAACCTGTTATGCATGGGAGTCTGGAAGCCCTCAAAATTTTATGTAAAAAAAATTATGTAGGTGTGACCTTTTCTGAGAAGGAATTGTGGCACGAGGACAGTGAGCAAATCACTTCACCACACTGTGTAAACCTGGATAAATGACTTAGTTTCACTGTCTCTCAGTTCCCTAATCCCCTTTTTAATGTAAAAGTGAAATAAGGGTGTCTATCTTATAGGACTATTGGGCTGGGCGGGTTAGTGAAATAAGACTTTCAAAGCTCTTAGACACACATCAGAGCCCAGTATGCTCAATCATGACGTGGTGAATGAAGGAAAGTCCACTGTAATGCAGGTCTCTGGGGCACAGGCTCTCTGAGGGCAGAGCCTAGAAAGCCCTGTGAATGTCTGCACCTCTGGCATCTAGATGAGATGTTGGATCAATTCTGCTGAATTAAAAAAAGGGAGGGGGGCGCCTGGGTGGCTTAGTCGTTAGTCATTAAGCGTCTGCCTTCTGCTCAGGTCATGATCCCAGCGTCCTAGGATGGAGCCCTGCATCAGGCTACCTGCTTGGCGGAAGCCTACTTCTCCCTCTCTCATTCCCCCTGCTTGTGTTCCCTTTCTGGCTGTGTCTCTCTCTGTCAAATACATAAACAGAATCTTAAAAAAAAATAAATAAAAAATTTTTAAAAAGGGCCCAACAATCAAGAACTAAGGACTAGTACATTGGAGGTAACTAGCTCAGTTTTGCCTTTGAGAGGGTGCTCCCAACACTCCCTTTGTCACACACAAGGTGGGGGGAAACCTTCTAGGTGGTCCGCAATATCATTCTCCATGGTTCTTAATCCTGCTGGGCATCAGCATGACTTGGAGAGCATCTAAAAACACATACTTCTGGGCTCACCTCCTGGACATTCCCAGTCAGTATGTCTGGCATGGATCCTGGAAATCTGTATCTATTTTTAAAAAGCCCCAGTAAGGGGGCGCCTGGGTGGCTCAGTGGGTTAAAGCCTCTGCTTTCAGCTCAGGTCATGATCCCAGGGTCCTGGGATCGAGCCCTGCATTGGGCTCTCTGCTCGGCAGGGAGCCTGCTTCCTCCTCTCTCTCTCTGCCTGCCTCTCTGCCTACTTGTGATCTCTGTCTGTCAAATGAAATGAATGAAATCTTTAAAAAAAAAAAAAAGCCCCAGTAAGGATTCTGATGCAGCCAGCCTTGAGTATTGCTGCCGGTGACAATATCTGAAGGCATATAAGGAGGCTGCTGCATTTTTAAATTTTGAGAAAACGCATTAATTATTTCCTGCTAGTTTTGCTTAAAGATGTATACACATCCATGATCCTAGGAAAGATTGAAAACAAGCCTTCCTTCTTGAGGGTTATTTAGGACTCTGCTATTTAGGACACTCCCCCAAATGCTAGCCTCCTCTGGGTAAGCAGAGCACTGATATGAGACTCCTGCCTGGGTGGCTCAGTGGGTTAAAGCCTCTGCCTTCGACTCAGGTCATGATCCCAGGGTCCTGGGATCCAGCCCTGCATCGGGCTCTCTGTTCAGTGGGGAGCCTGCTTCCCCCCTCCCTCGCTCTCTGCCTGCCTCTCTGCCTACTTATGACCTCTGTCTGTCCTATAAGTAAATAAAATCTTAAAAAAAAAAAAGAAGAAGAAGAGAACGCATATGAGACTTCTGACACTGGTTTCCCTATTTACAAGGGGACATTTTATGAAGTTAAATCAAATGGTACAGATATTGTTACCTGCAACCACTTCAGTGTCATTTATGCAAAACAACTTCCAGGCATTAATTACGTATGTGTGAGTTCCAGGAAAAATCACTTTGTGAGGAGGAACTAAAGTCACTGTCAATTGTCAGCTCCGAAATTCTTTCTTCTTCCTTAGGGATCTGAGTCTCTAATTCTGCTCAAGTACAATACGTCCCTTCTAAATGTAAGGCAAAGGTAAAACTACTTTCAATGTAATTTAGTTGCTTCCAAGCTTATGTGTGGCTGGTGTTATCTTAAAAAGAAACACACATGAAGAGATATCATGAATTAAAACCTGGTCACACTCAAAGAGGAAGATGGCTGGAGTGAAAAGTAATACCTCGGGCTCTCCCCAAAACAAGGACTAAATATACGCACAGTCAACATTTTCAGAAAAATAGGAGAGTTAAGGGTGTCTAAAACTACTTAGCTCTCAAGTATTCCTTAATGAATATACTTGGATTAAAACCAGGAGATTTTTACTAAAATCTAGTTAAGAAAGCCATAATTGACTTCTATAGGATTTCATGTGCTACTTTCAGTCCAAAATGAATTTTCATGGACAAGTTATAAACCCTTGAAAATGCATTTTTTAAAAATTTAAGTGCTGATATGCCACTATAATTTTACCTGCAATTTCTTACACTGAGGGACTATTGTCTTTTATCACTGGTTTATTAAGTTTTACAGCATATGAGTGTGCTATGTGAAGCAGAGAATTACATTTTCATTTCCTTCTGAGAGATATGAGAAAAAAATGCTCTAGTACTTACTTTTCTCCATAAAACCTTTCAAAGAATTTTTCTTTCCAAGGTTCTGTTTTCTTTTCCTTCTCAATTTCTTGCCTTATCCGCAACTGCATTTCTGGAGTAAACTCTCCTAGAAAGCAAATGCTTATATATTGAGTAAAAGTGATCATATCTTTTCCGATTAATAAGGAAAATGTAATTAATTTGAGTAAACTTTTATGGATGTTGCAAAGGAAAAGGCTGAGTACTGACAATATTCTACAGCTTCTCTCTTCATGAACATCGCTCAAATAGTCACTTAGTTGTAGGTGAACTTTAAAACCCTCAGCAAATAAAGTGTATGCTAGGGGCTGTGAATGAAGTGGCGTATATTCAGTGTCCCTAATGAAATCAGTCTGGCGGGAGAAAAGGCACACAATTGTCTATAATATAATGTTGAAAGTCCTGTATGGGCTGTAAGAATAAAGGTAGTGAGGGCACAGAAGAAAAGGCACTTCATTCTGCCTGAATCGATTAGGGAAGACCACATACAGGAAATGGTACTTGAGTAAGCTTTTGAAGGATGACCACGCTTTTATAAAGTAATTAACTCACAAGGCACAGAGATATGAATATGTATATTTATGTTCTTTTGAGTGGCCAATTGTGAGAATGTAGGAGTAGGATGAAATGAAATGGGAAAGGTAGGCTGAGGCCAATTAGCAAATACATGGTTTAAAGAGAGTTCTACATTTTTCCTATAAGAGACAGAGGGAGGTCCTGATGGCATCTACTCAGAGAGGTATATGGCCTAACAAGTGGCTCAAAAACCAGGTGTAGACATGGGAGGACTCCAGCCAGGAGGCTGCTGAATGGCATAGATGAGAAACAGAGAGTACAGTCAAGCCAGCAGCTGCGGGAGTGTTCAAGGGCATTCAGAGTCAGAGCACAGTTGACAGGTCATGACCGGATCAGGAGATGAGAGAGGACAAGAGATCAAGTTCCGAAGTGAGGACAGAGGTGACATTAATGGAGAGGGGGCAGAAGGCCCGGCAAGGTGAAGGGAAGGGAAAACAGTGAGGTTAATACTGACGTTATGGTTTTCAGGTGCTTGGTATCTGCTCGGGAGATCCAGCAGGCATTTGGAACAGAACACAGGATTAGGAAAGAGGAGTTAGAGCCAGATGTGGAAGATTTGGCATAGGGGCTATACCAGGCAGTGAAAGAGGCTGCTTAGTGAAAGTGCACAGCTACAAGAGGAAGTACCAGAGAGAGTGGTGGAGACATCACCATGTGTCATCAGATGGAAGAACAGAAGCTCCAGATGGAAACTGAGGAATGGCTATCAACAATGCGGCCTCAGGAAACAATTTGAAATATATTGTGAATGTCTAAGGTACATGGTTTCAAATTGGATGGGTTAAAAAAAAAGAGAGAGAGAAATTGCAGAAGGAACATAAAACGTAAGGACCAAAAAGAGGAAACTGGGCTTTGCTATTAGAAAGTCATTAATAGGGGCACCTGGTTGGCTCCGTTAGGTGTCTGCCCTCAGCTCAGGTCATGATCCCAGGATCCTGGAATTAAGCCCCACATCGGGCTCCCTGCTCAGCGGGAAGCCTGTTTCTCCCTCTCCCACTCCCCCTGCTTGTGTTCCCTCTCTCGTTCTCTCTGTCAAATAAATAAATAAATAATCTTAAAAAAAAAAAAGCCATTAATATTCTCCAGGAGGCATTATTTTAGTTGTGTATAGTAGGGTCACACCTATAACAATTTGAGTGGGTAAGAAAGTAAAAAAGAAGTACCACTGGTTATTTTTTAGTCTTTCAAGAAGCTTGGTGACTAAAGGAAGAATCAGGTGAAATGGTGACTCTAGGGGAAGAAAGTATTAAAAGAAAATTCTTTAGGCTCTAGGACATTAAGAGAATACATAAGACCTCAAGCAAGTGATTAAAATTATGATTCCAAAGAAAATCTAGATAGATCAAAATTTTTTATTATGTTTTGGATATCGTGCTTCCTTCAAAAATGTTGTATCTCAAAAATGCCAAGTATAACAAAGAATTAGTGAAGTCATTTGGAACAGAATGGGTGTTTTTACTAAATTAAAGTATACTTCAGGGGGAGAAAAAGACTCGGAAATCAGAGAAAGGTGCAAAGCTCAGTAAACTGTGTGTATTCAGATATGCCAAAGAATAACGGAAAAAAGAAATTTACCTTCTGCCAGTCGCTGTTTCCATCCTTGAGCTGCATATGCAAAAAATTCATTATTTAGTGCTGAAGAACTGAGGCGTAAAATTCCATCGCTTCCCATCTAGGAAATAAGCCGACAAAAACAAGATCCATCAAGGATAATTCAGAGCAAAAGTACACAGGAAAGAAGTGAAAACGGTGTATGCGCGAGAGAGAAAGTGTGGGGTGGGAGAAAGGGAAAAAAGGAACCTAGCAGAAAGGGAACCTCCTGGTAGGAAAAGCACACATTGATGATTACAATAACAAAAATACATCAATTTAAAGGAAATCTTTATTAGGCATTTCCATTATTGGTGGTGAGTAAAACAAATGCATGGAATTTCACCAAAACAGTGTGATATCTTTACCGTTTTACTATGTCGTAAATGGTACCAGGTTAAAAATGACCATGTTGACACCTTTCAACTAACTTTCAGAAATTAAATGTTCTAAGATTTGTGAAAGCTAAAGAAATCCAGTCTGATCACTTGGGTTCCTTCTCCGGCTGAGGTTTAGACAGGGAGAAGTTCTAAAGCATTAAAACAAATACCCGCACACTGTCATACATACCCCCTCATCTTCTAATTTGGATGCACACAAAAAACCAGCTAACTAGTAAGGTGCACAATGCCCGCAACCGTAAGCTACCGACCTCTTGCCTGAAACATACTAATTTTTAAAAACTCACATGTAGAAGGGATTCAGATAAGCATCATCAAACCGGGTGCTTTTACCTTTCCAATTATTTACTGCACCTCCTATGTGCAGATAGTCTGCCTGTGGACACAGAAGATCAAAGAACTGGCCTCGTCCTTGACTGGCTGCTTATGGACTGAGGAGTGAAGATCAAACGGTGTCAAGCACAGGGTGAATGGGCATTAAGAAGTGCAAAGTAAAAGCTGGGGGATGCTATCTAGGTGGACGCAAGCCGTTTGGAAGAACTGGATGCCAGAGGCAAAGCTGGGTCCTACAAGATAGATCTGGACGGCATGGCTCTAGAGAAAAATCATGTAGTGCCCGGTAGAGCTCAGGAACTTTCCCGAGGAGGGATGGCATCACAGGGCAGCGGCAGCCACCTGGCGTTCAACGGTGAGAGGTGCTTTAACCTGCTGGTTAGAGGCATGGCAAACTGTAGCTCCAATTACATTTTCAAAGATTTCCTCTTAACTCCCATCCACACACTTCGCGGGTCCTAATCTCTAATTGTTGCTGCTCCCAGAAAACATGCTCGGAGATTTCTCATCCCCAGGCTTCTGTTTGCTTGTGGTCTTTTCCACATTCCATCTTCACCACTGAAATCCTCCTCTTTTAAAATTTCACTCAACGCCTTCATGAACGTGTCAGCGGAACCATCCTCCAGGAGCAAAGGAGAACGCTGAATTTAAAAGTCAGCATTATACCAACTACTCTACACTGAATAATGGTCGATCCGATTCAGAAGAGAGACACTGTGAATAAACATGAGGTATGCTGAACGCTGCCATCATGACATCCAGAGGGAAGTCACAGACTTGACATTCTTAAGTTTCTTCATCTAAGAAGCTGCGGATAGCACACTAAAACATTCAGTGCGCATGGAAAATTTCAGGCAAGGCTTCGTTCATTCATCGGATCATTGTTTACTCACCCCGAGCTATTTCGTCTTTATTCGAGACCCTTATTAAGCCACTCATACGAACCCATGTACCTGGTACGTGTATACAGTGGCATTAAAGAAAAAGCCCCTGTCCTTCCATTGAATGTATTCTACGCACAGCAGAAGCTTCTGGTCCCTGTAGAACTCTTCCACCCACACAACTGTAATACAGTCCTATCACCACGCTGGGATCCCACCTCAGTGTCCTACCACAGCCCCAAGACTGGAGCCTTCCTCTCTTCTGACTGGACAATTCTAGGACTCTGTCCTCTGGAATGCAGTCCACGCACTGAACCAATGGCTGTCATTTGGTCCTGCGTCTCCAACACAATACATGTGCCTGGGACCCAAGGGGTGGAGTGAGTGAATCTTTGTACTCTCTCTCCCGTAAACCACGGGCAGACAGTATACTTTCTGTGGCCAGAGCTCTAGGCCTTCTGAGAATAAAAGTCCATGTCCCTGGGGGACAATCATTTCTACTCGGTCAGGGCTTCTCAGCCTTGGCCCTGTTGTCATTTTTTAAAATATTTTTTAAAGATTTTATTTATTTATTTGACAGATCACAAGTAGGGAGAGAGGCAGGGATGGGGGGAGAAGCAGGCTCCCCACTAAGCAGAGAGCCCAATGCGGGGCTCGATCCCAGGACCCTGAGACCATGACCTGAGTCGAAGGCAGAAGCTTTAACCCACTGAGCCACCGAGGTGCCCCGGCCCTATTGTCATTTAAATACAGAGACTCCTTTATTGTGGCAGCTGTCCTGCTGTTGAACAGCACCCCTGGCTTCTACCCACTAGATACCCGCAGCAACCTCTCTCCCAAATGGGACAATTGTAAATGTCTCCAAATATTACCAAATGTCCCTTTGGGGCAAAATCATCCCCAGGTGACGATCATCACACTCTTGGACATGGTAAGGGCTCCACGGTAGCTAAAGCTTCGTCTGGTTCCTAGGTGTCTCTCATACCAGTGCATCAGTGGGCCGAGAGAGGGGTGACTGGACAGGTAGGATAATTGGCCCTCACGGTCATGAGGAAAGAGAACTGCTGCTGTAGGGCAAAGGCAGAGAGAAGGATGTAGGGAGCACTGGAGCTTCATCAGGACCTCTCTGGGTGCTTCTGTGTCTGCTGGTGACAGCGAACACAGATTATAGCAATGATAGCCAGAAAGATCACAGGAGCCAAAGGCTCAGACTCCTCAGGGATGATGGTTTGGGCCACTTCCACCAGGCAAACTAGCAGAATTCCTGGCTGAGTGTGAGGGTAATCAGAGAAGGGAAACGATGAACTTAAGACCAGCTTGAGACTAGCAGAGTCTGTAGCTACACTGACTCCCTCGTCATAAGTCTCGTTTTTTGTTTTTGTTTTCTCACCAAAATATCATGACTGGCCACTCTTTAAAGACTTAATGACAGAGAGCACTTAACATGAAACACTTTGAAAGAGATCTAGCAAAGGCAATTAGGATGAAGAGAAGACAGTTCCCCTAAAAGTTATGCCTCTAAGAAGTCTGAAATTTTCTGCAAATGTTGACTCTGCATGTCTGTCTGTGGTTTGGGAGCCTTGAGATAAAGCAACTTCACTTAGGAAGACTAACAGGGAAGAGATATTCTTATTGTGTAGATTTTAAATAGGACTAGTAGGTGGAAGGCAAGTTCCCTGAAGAGGTAAAGAAATTTGTTTGCTATGAAGTGCATTTATAGAAGGCAATGAATAGGTTGGGATTTTTCTATATTTGAGGACTTCATGGTGCCTTATAATCTTCCACAGTCCATGCAACACCTAACACAGTGCAGGTACTCAATAAATGCTTATTGCTTCCCTTGCTTTGTGCAATTGAAAGATTTAAAATTTAACTTTGGTAGTTGATATGCAGGATTTTCATTTCATGTATTCTCCCAGGCCAAGAGTGTGATTAGTTATTAATTGAAATTTCAGCATAATTTTAAGATACAAAGAAATACCAGATCCAGATTAGCTCTGTCAGTGTTTTGGGATTTCAGCGCATGAAAATGCAAGGCAGTGTGAAATAAACACATTCAAAAATATGGAAGCTAGCCCTGAAGGAAAGTGTTTTTCTTTTAAAACAGAGAGAATAATATTAACTGCCAGACTTCTAGCCTGTATGAGACAGCACAATTAAACACTGGAGCTAAATTGGACTTAGGAAATACGTGCCAATAAAACTTTTAAAATACACTATTAATTTTATGGCCTTTAAGAAATACTGTCCAAAAGACATAACATTTTAATGAGCTGGAACAATAAACATTTCTGAAAGGTTTATTTATTTATTTATTTATTGCTGAGCCATAAATTCTTGTTTTTCAGATTGCCCATGCTAGAAATGCTCATTCTAAAAACTCCCTTAACTCTCTTATAATGAAGTGTCTAACTAAACTATTGATAAATTATGCTACCTTTTTAATTAGGAGGGAAAACCCCTGAACATTTTAGTTGTTACAGAGGAAAATAAATATGAGTAAAGGAAAATTCCTTCGTGCCAAGATCCTTTCACAAAGGTTTAAACCCCTTATTGGTGAGTCTATCCACTTGCCTTTGGTATTGGTTATAACATCCATTTTGTGGGATGGATATCCATGGAATTCAAAAGGTTGAAATGCCAGTTCTGCTTGTACCCTATCCAGTTTTTGAAGGTCAATGAATTTTAATTCTGCACACAAATATATCTATAGTTAATAATAATCCCTTAAAGCTCTAATATATTCTTTATCACTTTTTTTCTTATTTTAGGTTTCCTGTAAGTGATTCAGAATGCATGACATGTGGGCTGCAAAGTGGAACAGTGAGAGATGTGTCGGAGAGTTTGAAAATAGCCCAACAATAATGGGACACCTAGATACACTAAGCAATGTGGATTTCATTCTACAGACAAAGGGGAGCCATTCAGAGTGAAGCCACCCCACACTGAGCATGTGCAGGTAAGCAGGATGCTGGTTTAGGCGGGGTGGTCAGGATGGGCCTCTCTCTTGAATCCTCACTATTGATAAGGGATGTTCATGGAGACACCAGACAGAAACAAGGAAGGAGTCTTGAAACCATCCGGGAAAGAGTGTGCGAAGTGAAGGGATGCCAGTCCAGAGACAGACTCTTGGCGGGGGGTGGGGGAGGGTGCCACCAGGAGACCTGCAGACCCAGAGACACACTGGACAGAAGAGGCACAGAAGCTGAGGGAAAAGAAACATGCTGGGCTGTAGATCCACTGTATAGCCTGCCCACCCCTACCCCCTCTGCAAAAAGGGAGCTAGAAAGCCTTTGGCAGATTCTGGTCTGAGGAATGGGAAGTTCTGACATTTCAAAAGGATAGCTCTGATGGCTGTGTGTAAAACAGACTTTAGAGTAGTGCCATCTAACAGTAAGATAAATGTCAGCCACATATATGATTTCAATTTTTAGGAGTCACTTTGAAACAGTAAAAAGAAATAATGT